AATTTAACAAAATAAGTACAAGACTTGCACATTTAGAACAACAAAACATTAACGGAAGAAATTACAGAAGATTTAAATAATTGGAAGATATTCCATGTTCGTGATTCAAAGACTCAATATTGTGAAGAAGGCAATTCTTGCCAAATTGATCTATAAATTCAGCACAGTCCTTATCAGAATCCAGTAGGTATCTGATAGAAACTGACAAGCTGATCCTAAAATTCACATGGAAATGCAAAAGACCCAAAATCGCCATAATGATTTTTTTTTTTTTTTTTGAGATGAAGTCTCACTCTGTCACCCAGGCTGGAGTGCAGTGGCATGATTTCGGCTCACTGCAACCTCCACCCCCCCGGGTTCAAGCGATTCTACTACCTCAGCCTCCCAAGCAGCTGAAACTACAGGCATGTGCCACCACCCTCAGCTAATTTTTTGTATTTTTAGTAGAGATGGGGTTTCACCATGTTAGCCAGGATGGTCTCAATCTCCTGACCTGGCGATCAGCCCATCTTGCCTCTCAATGATTTTTAAAAAGAATGACGAAGTTGATTTTCACTACTAAATTTCAAATCTTACTCTAAAGATACAGTAATCAATACAAAGTGGTACTGTCTCAAGAATAAAGATGAAAGAAGCTAAACTGTGAGCCCAAACATAAATATTTGTGTTTATCGTCAATTTATTTTTCACAAAAGAGCCAAGTGCCAACTCAACCCAACATATATAGAACAATCAATCCAATGACTGCTGAATACACATGCTTTTAAAGTAAACATGGAACATTCTCTAGGATAAACTATATATGAGGCCAATGTATCCATTAAATGTAAAAAGAATAGTCTTTTTAAGAATAGTGTATACACCTTCAAAAAATAAACTTAAATTATTACTTCACACCATACACAAAAAATTAACTCAAAATGGATCATACACCTCAATATAAAAACTAAAACGATTAATTTCTAGGAAAAAAAGATAAAATCTTCATGAGCTTAGACAAAGTTCTTAGATATAACAGCAAAAGCACAAACTATTATTTAAATATTTTAAACTTCATCAAAATTTAAGACTTTTGCACTTCAGAAGTCACCAATAAGAAAATAAATGCAATGAAGAAAGGATTTCCTGTTTAGTAAATAGTACTAGGAGAACTGGCTAGCCATATGAAGAAAATTGAAGCTGGACCCCTTTCTCATAACATATATAAAATTAACTCAAGATGGATTAAAGACTTAAATGTAAAAGCTGAAACTATAAAAACCCTAGAAGAAATTCTAGGCAAAACTGTTCTCAGAAAAAAAAAAAAAAAAAAAAAAACACCTGGCTCATTCCAGGCTGTTCTTGAAAAAAAAAAAGAAAAAGAAAAAGAAAATCTAGGCAATACCATTCAGGACATAGGTATGGGCAAAGACTTCATGATGAAAACACCAAATGCAATTACAACAAAACAATTGACAAATGAGATTTAATCAAACTAAAGAGCTTCCGCACAGCAAAAGAAATCATCATCAGAGTCAAGAGACAACCTACAGAATGGGAGAAAATTTTTGCAATTGATTCATCTAACAAAGGCCTAATATCTAGAATCTACAAGGAACTTAAAATTACAAAAAAACAAACAACCCCATTATAAAGTGGGCAAAGGACATGAACAGACACTTCTCAAAAGAAGACATACATGTGGCCAAGAAACATGAAAAAAAGCTCAGCATCACTAATTATTAGAGAAATGCAAATCAAAACCACAATGAGATACCATCTCACACCAGTCAGAATGGCTATTAATAAAAAGTCAAAAAACAATAGATGCCGGTGAGGTTGTAGGGGGAAAACGAATGCTTTTACGCTGTTGGTGAGAGTGTAAATTAGTTTAATCATTGTGAAAGACAATGTGGGAATTCCTCAAAGACCTAGAGGCAGAAATACCATTTGGCCCAGCAATCCAATTACTGGGTATATACCCAAAGGAATATAAATTATTCTATTATGAAGATATATGCACACATATGTTCGTTAGAACACTATTCACAATACCAAAGGCCTAAATGCTCATCAGTGGGCATCAATGGGCTTTATCCAATGATAGACTTGATAAAGAAAATGTGATACATATACTCCACAGAATACTATGCAGCCATAAAAAGGAAGGAGATCATGACATTTGCAGGAACATGGATGGAGTCAGAAGTCATCATCCTCAGTAAACTAATGCAAAAACAGAAAACTAAATACTGCATGTTCTCACTTATGAGTAGGAACTAAATGATGAGATCACATGGACACATGGAGTGGGGACAACACACACTGGGGCCTGTCAGTTGGGGGCAGGGAGAGGGAGAGCATCAGGAAGAATAGCTAATGGATGCTGGGCTTAATACTCAGGTGATGGGATGATCTGTGCAGCAAGCCACCATGGCACACTATGTTCACCTATGTAACAAGCCTGCGTAACCTACATATGTACCCCTGAACTTAAAAGTTGGGGGAAAAAAGAAAATAAATACAATATTTATAGAAAATATTCATGAGAAAAAAAATTTAATCCACAAGTTGGAGGAAATATGCAGAAATCATGTATCTGATAAAGGACTTGTATACAGAATACATAAATAACTCCTATGATTCAATAATAAGACAAACAATTAATAAGACACTGTTAATCCAGATGAAGACCACAGGCCGGCTGTTCAGGGAAAAGCATTGAATGTAGACCAGAAAGTTGGGGTTCCCTCCATAACACTGACACCAACAAGCATAACCCTGATCACAAGCCAGGTTTCCTGAACCCCTCAACTGAGAAATAAAAACAAGTTCAATGATCTTGAACTTTGGAGTAAAACAGAATTTCTTGGAGGTGCTCACATAAATTGCCTAAGCCCCACGTTCCAAGAATTGTAATTCAGTTGCTCTGGGATGGAGCAAATAATCTGCACTTTTCATGAACCTACCAGAGGATGACAGTGCCACCAAGTGATGAAAGACCACTGTCTATCAAGGGAGGCTTGATTTAAATCTAAAGACTATGCAAAGGAATGCTATGCAACCCCAAAAAAGAATACATTTTGTAGAAAGGGGAGGGAGATGAATAACATGTGTGAGATTAGCTTTTAAATGCACAAGAATATTCTGGAATGATAAAATATAATAATGGTACCCGCCAAGATTGGACATAATATGCTTAGGAGACAAAGATGTGAGGAAATACTTTGTTGTCCCCCGTGAGCACTTGAAAACATTACCTATTCCAAAATCAGTGCGGAGTGTTTAACACTAGGCGACTAGTTGAGCTACACTTTCCCTTTTACCGCCTGGACACGCCACGCAGAGGTGCATTTCAGCTGGCACAGGTCAAAAACGCTGACACTGTGAAGGTGTATCACTTTAAACGGAGCTGGACAAGCCAGACCCTGCGCTGCTAGTTCCTGGCTCTTGGGCAAGTTGGTTAACCTTTCTGCATGGCATTTTCATCATCCATAAATTGGGCTAAAACAGATACACCTCAGAATTGTAGTTTAGGTCAAATTAGATAAAGTTAACTATACTTCAGCTGATTGTAGCATAATACAGTTGATCCTCTGGATCCACAGGTTTCGCATTCGCAGATTCAACCAAAAGAAGACCGAAAATTTTCGGGGGAAAAAAAAAAAACAACACACACACACGCTATATATACATATATATGTCCAGGCACAGTGGCTCACGCCTGTAGTCCCAGTACTTTGGGAGGCAAGGCGGTGGATCGTTTGAGCCCAGGAGTTTGAGTCCAGCCTGGGCAATACGGTGAAACTCCAGTTCTACAAAAAATTAGCCGAGTATGGTGGAACGCGCCTGTAATCCCAGCTACTCAGGGAGCTGAGGTGGGAGGATCACCTGAGCCCAGGGAGTGATGGTTTCAGTGAGCAGAGATTGCACCACAGCACTCCAGCCTGGGCGACAGAATGAAACCTCATCTCAAAAACAAACAAAATATGTATATATTATCTATCTATACATAGATAGATAATAGATATCTGTGTAGCAACCAGGGGTATCGCATTTACATTGTATTAGGTACTGTGAGTATTCTAGAGATTCTTTAAAATACACGGAAAGCTGTAAATGATAAACAAATGTGCACCATTTTATATGAGACTTGAGCATCCGTAGATTTTGGTATCCACGTGGGAGTCCGGGAACCAATCCTCCAGGGATATCAAGGGAAGACTGTAATTACTACAGTGCCAACTATCATAATAAACAAATAATGCAGGGACTGCCATCGTCACGCAGGATGCCAGCTTTATTCTCCCTTCCAAGACCCCTAAAATGGTATTACAGTGATGTACAAGCTAGGAGAACCCAAGAACGCAAGCCACTATTGGCCAACAGGAAAGCGCAGGGCACTTCCGGGACGGGGCCTGGGAGGATGGGAGTAGGACTTGGTGTCTTGGTTTGGCACTCCGCTAGTGTGACCTGGACATGAATCGGTCTTCAACTCCGCGTCTGACGTCAACGCAAAGGAGGACAAGAACTTGATACTGGACGCCAGGCCCTAGAGCGGCGCAGATGCCCTGCCCCCTAGCGGTCCGTACGAGTATTTCCCCAGCTTGACCTACCAACCACAGCCACGACTATTGGGCAGCAGGTATACCTCTGCCTCTAGGGCGGGTCCTCCAGGGGGCGGAACATTGCGTGACATTTTGCGACTTCGGTTTCAGTGCCGTCATTTAAAACATAATTGGTTTTGCAGTGCGCATCCGGCTCTGCGCCAGGAAGGCCCAAGATTCCAACGCGCGAGGCCGAGCCTGGCGGCGGCGAGACACCCCCAGGAGCCCGGACTGCGGTCTCCCGGAGGCGCCCCTGGAGCTCCGAGGATTCACCTTGCGTAGCGCGGTCCTGCCCCCGTTCGTCCCAGTCCGCCTCGCCTACCACCGACACCTGTTACCTCACAGAGGACTGCGTCCCCCGCCCCCACGCCCTCTGCCAGGCCCAAGAGCGCAGTCAACAGCGCCGTCGAGGTAATGGGCAGCCGACCCCGCAGCCCCAGCGCCTGCCCTGCGCCCTGGTGGGGACCGCAGTCGGGAGGACCCGACCCTGCCAAGCGCCGCCGACTGGATGAGCCCGCGGGCCTCGAACCCCTCGCGGCGCCCAGCCTAGCAGACCCGGCGGGGGCCCCGGCCGCGGACGCGCTCACCTTCGTGATGGTCCTGGCCGCGGGCAGTTCCCTGAAGGTGTCCCTGAACGACGACAACCTGGTGCTGGTGCCCGCGCCCACGTCGATCATGCGAGTGTCTCTCGGTGGACACACCCTCTTCCTGATCCCCGAGGTCCTCCTAAGCTCCGTCGACGAACGCTCAGGAGCGCAGGGCGACTTGTCTGCCTTCCTAGTAGCGGATGTTTTCCTGGGCGCTCTCAGGGAGGACGTCGTCGTCGAGCAGGAATTCTGCGCGTCTGTCCCAGAGGTCGCCGCCCAGGAGGAGGTCTACGAGGAGGACGCGGACCCCGAGTTCCTGGAGCTCTGGATGGACTCCCCAGCCGGCTCGGCCGCTGGGCCCTATCCCTCCGCTAGAAGTATGTGCGGCCCCTACCCGGAGGGCCTCATCCCAGAGCCCTGTGCTCTGGCCCCCAACCCCAGTTCAGAGAGACGCCCTCCACGCCCCATCTGCGACCAGGAATTCCGCTTTCTGGAGCCTGTTCCCAGCTCACCTCTCCAATCTCTACCGCCCTCTCCGAGTCCAGGTCCCCACGCGCGCCCGGAGCTCCCAGAGCGCCCTCCGTGCAAGGCCCGGAGACGACTGTTTCAGGAATGAACTGCCTCCCACAATCCCTTGCCACCCTGCTAGGGTCCAGGCAACTGTCTCCTGATAGCCGTAGTATGTGTGTGGCGCAACCTACAAGGATCTCCAAGAATGAATAACAGATAGATGTTTTTTGATACAGGCTGGATTGCAGAATTTTGGATCAGTGGCTGATTTAGAATGTCTGGGGAAAAAAGATCCACCTCAGCATAAAAATATGCTAGTTGGAATACAGTTACTTTCAGACTGTGAGATTGCTGCTTCGGGCCTGTTTTGTATGGAAGTCACCCCTAGGCAGCTCCATTCCCCCTGGTTTTGCTTTAAACCTCAGTGCCAGCACTTTTCTCTAAAAATCCACCCCTTCCCCAGCACCCTACCATGTCACGCCTTTTCTCCCAAGTTCATTACTACATTTATTTTGTTTAATGGGTTTTGGCCCTAGTCCCTTTATGACGACCATTCTCACCATGGAACTTTTCCCTATAGTGGCCTGAGCCCCTTTTGGGGAATCTTGCAAATAGTTGTACCTGGACAAATGTTTGTTGTTTCTGAAACAGACAGAACTGGGAATAATGATCACGTGTCCTCCTTTTTTTCATGATTGACTTAGCAAATTGTTTATGTTGCTGGGCTTTCCCCACCCCGCTCCCCCACCAACTCTTACAGCCAGCTCTTTTCCATTCATTTCTTCTTGTATATTTTTTAATATAATTCCTTTATCCTGGAAAAGTTTATAATTCTAAGATTGTTTGTGTGTGTGTTGGTGTTGGTGTTGTTTTATTTGTTTGTTTTTTGAGACAGAGTTTTGCTCTTCTGGAGTGCAATGGTGTGATCTCAGTTCACTGCAACCTCTGCCTCGAAGGTTCAAGCGATTCTCCCACCTCAGCCTCCCAAGTAGCTGGGATCACCGACATGCCCCACCACACCCAGCTAATTTTGTGTTTTTAGTAGAGACAGGGTTTCACCATGTTGGCCAGGCTGGTCTTGAACTCCTGACTTCAGGTAATCCAGCTGCCTCAGCCTCCCAAAGTGCTGGGATTACAGGCATGAACCACCGCACCAGGCCAGAAATAATTTCTTAGGTTGATCTTGTATCAAATAAAATTACTGAATTTCTTTAATGGTTTATCTGCAGATTCTCGATTGATTTATAAAAACAATATCTCCAAATAAGGAGAATATTGTCTCTTTTGACAAGCTCCCAATGTCATATTTTTGCTTAATCTTTTGTATTGGATATTACTTCAAGTCCAGGTTGAACAGTATGGTTGATATGGGCATCCCTGTTTTATGCCTTGTGTTAATGCTTCTACATTTTACCACAAAGTATGATCTTTACTGTAGATGGCCATTAGATAACCCTTAGCCTATTGAAGCAGTTAATTGTCAGTCTTTCAGATAATGAAAAAGTGCTGGATTTTCGCTTTGTTTTTGCCTAAGTTACTACAGAGATGTTATCAAGTTGTTTTAAATGTTGACATTTTATTATTTGCGTGTATACATAAAATAGCTAGATGGAACCTTTGAGCCATAAGAATATGTACAGAAACCTGGCAAGAGCACTAATGAGACCAGGCTTTGGGCTTCAGGGATTTAAAACAATTGGATGCTTTATAAGGACCTGAGAAGACACGAGTGGAAGGAGAAAGGCAGTAACTGCAGGGTCCATTTAAGGTTTTAAATGTTAAAAATTTAAGAAACTTTTTCTGTATGCATAAGATGACTTTTTGTATTTCTTTTTTAATCAACTTGTGGTTTGTTCTAATAGAATTTCTGACTACAAGTATCTTTGCATTTCTGTCTATTCTACAGTATTTTATATGATTCTAGCTCTACCTTGGATTGCTTTTTGTTTTGTTTTTTGCCTTTTTTTGAATGTTTTGTTTGTTTTAAATAACTATATGCAGCGCCAATTTTAAAATGTCATTATTTTGCCAGGTTTGCCTCATTTTCGTAATAAATTATTGCCGATAAAGTTAAAGCCAATGAGATGCTATTTTTTTTCTATTGAACATCAATAATTATTATGTAGATTTTCCAGTATGCTTTACCAGTTAATTTGCTCACCTTCTATTCTTGCATTCCACTCCTTTATTCTGGCTTCATTTGTCTTCTTTCCAAGGTATACTCTTTTTTTAGGAGAATTTCAAAGCTACTGCATATCAATCCAAGGTATACTTTTTAAGAATTCTTTCGGCCGTGGTTTGTGTGGTAAATCTTGGGTTCATATGTCTGCAAATATTTCAGTTACACCTTCAAACTTGTAGTATTGTAGCTGGGTTTGGAATTCTAAAATAAATCCTATACTCTCTACTTTAAAGATAACTATATTATTTTCCATCCCATTTATTGTTGCAGGTGAGAAGTTGTCATTTGTATTGTCATTCCTTTACACATGATTAGGCTGTTTATGTTAGTATTTTTCTTGACTTTGATGCCTTATGGTTTCACTAAACCTGATGTGTTTGATGGTAGATTTTTACCAGCTGCAACTCAGTGAGCTTTCTATAGCTGGAGAATTAATTCTTCCCATAAGATCTCAAAAAGAAAAGTCAGTATCTCTTAGACTTTTAAACCTCTCTCCAATCTCTTAAACTCCTAATAGAGAAGTTGTGCTGCTTAATCAATGCCCTCTCCCAGATCTCTTAATATCTATATTATATTTTCACACCCTGTATCATAGCAGTTTCGCTCTTACGATTAACTGATTCTGTCATTGTTTTCAAAATTTATTGTTCCTTATATGACTTTATTTCAAATACTGCATTTTTCATTTTCAATACTTCTGATTACTTAGGTTTTTGATATCTATTTGCTCTTCACAACTTTTATCAATGTCATATAAACTTTTCTAGTTTCACGGATGTTATCTCCTTTATCTCTAGGAGAAATTAAACAATCTTATTTTAAATTCTATATTAATTAGCTCAATAATTATATTTCCTCAGGCATAAAACCTCCAATCATTTGGCAGCATTTAATGACACTGATTTTCCCCTGGGCAAAAATTTTGGTATATAGACATATTTTGAATATGAATTCATTTTCTGTTCCAAATTTGTTTTGTGTTTTAGAGACAGGGTCTCACTCTGTCTCTCAGACTGGAGTGTAGTGGCATGATCATAGTTCACTGCAGCCTTGACCTCCTGTGCTCAGGCAGTCCTCCCACCTCAGCCTCCTCAGTAGCTGGGACTACAGGCACGTGCCACCATGCCCGGCTAATGTTTTTTATTTTTATTTTTTGTATAGAGAATCATCTCTGTTGCCCAAGCTGATCTCAAACTCCTGGGCTCAAATGATCCTCCCACTTTAGCCTCCCAAAGTACTGGGATTACAAGCATGTCTGCTCCATATTTGAATTTTACATTTGCCTGTTTCTAGCTTCCTAAGAGCCAAGGCTCAGAGCCAAACTTTATGGAGCTCACATAACTTGCAACTCAAAAATCACAGTTCCCATCCTCAAGCAATCATACATGGCCCAACTTCGAATTTCAATGCAGTAATGATGCTGGGCTGCACTGCCCATAGTCCCAACCTCATCGAGAATGCTGGGAGTATTAGCAGCTAAACTCAGTTGCTCTCCAGGAATTACCCTTAGCTCCTATGGTTAATCCATGCCAATAACTATTCAATTCGTGGATATATAGGCCCAGTTCACTTGCTTTAAGTTGAGACAACTCTGAAGAATTATCCCAAATCTAGGGCTCTCAGTGAGTTGGCTGAGGCTTTGTTGCAGCTGCATCCCAGTTCAACTCCTCCATGTGTCCTGTCAGATTTTCTTTGTTTTCCAAAATGTCTGCATGCAAAAGTTCATCTAAAAGTCTTCCCATATCAATTTAAGATAGCTGGTGTGAGGGGCTATCATAGGAAGCAGCCACTAAAATGGATTTCAGAGCTGAATCATGGAGCATGAATAGCCCATGGCATGTTACAGGAAAGTAGATAAGATCTTAATCAATGGCAAACTAACTGGGACTCTGGAAAAAGACAATATGCTGGCATTGGCAGAATCCCAGGCATTAGAAAAATTAGGAGCACAGCGTAATTATATGCATGATATTTATAAATAATGGGGAATTGAATAGCTGTTTCTGGGACAATAAATGTATTTGAGAAAGAAAATGAAATCAGAGGGTGATTAATTACCAATAAAACCCAAATATGAAATATAGACAGTCTCCTTGGCAGCATACAAATAGCCTTTCATCTCCTGTAGCTAACGGGGAGAAAAGCAACTGAGGATCTCATCTGGAATTTACTGCAAAGATAGTGGTGTACTATAAAGGCTAAATTTTCAAACTAGGAAAATCTATAATGGTGAGGTCCCCGCCTTGATTGGACTCTGAAACGTTGGATGAAGATGACCAAGTAGATTCACTTGGATATCGAATCTCAAACCTCCCTCAATCCTCTTGGCCTGCAAAAGTGGCCTACTCCTCTCTATTAAATGTTGGCACTCCACCCTTGCGTAAGATGATATAGAAGCCTCTGCCTAGCAAGATAACATGCACCCACCTCGGGATCTACCTTCACCGCCTCTCTTTGCCACAGGCCAGTTACTAAAGCATGTTATAACCTATCCAGGGAAATACTGGGCCTGCAACTAAGGAAAGGGGCTCTATATACCCTAGAATTGCTGTGGCTGTCACCCAACATATACCAGCAAGGGTCAAGTGTAAGACTGAGAGTGCTGGATGTCAGCCAGAAAACAAAGAGTTTATCAATTTAGAAGCACTCTCCCAACATACACAATTTAACACCCTGGCAAGGATGCTGTAAGACAGTGCTAACAATCTGATGGGTGGATCTTGCAGGTTAGAGAAAAAGATGTCCCATACTTTATCCAGAGAAGTGGATATGATACAGTGGATATACTACCTAAGACTATAAAATACATCAGCTACCATGATGTGTTGGAGGGCCTCGGGGGACATCGTGTAACAAAGAAATGCCCTAGAGAGCCACCAGGATCATTGAGAAGCTCAGTAGGCCGAGGTGAGGGCAGGAAATGCCATTAGAGAGCTGGACTCCTTGGTAGCCAAAAGGATAATAAGATTTGGGAGACTAAAAATACGAACGAACAATGTCCAGACCACACATGACAGTAGAAGTCTAACCCATAACTTCTGCAGCAACTATCCCAGAAGCCAAACCATAGTCTCTGCAGTAACTGGTCGCAAAATGGTCCAGACTTGTTCAATAACTGTCAGGTTTTCTCATTTCCACCCTCCCCT